CTGTAGGCACATCTGGAGTGGCAGGAAGCTGGGTGCACGGAGCTGCAGATCTGTGGGATAATTAGATGAGGGTCAGGACTTTAGTGTGTGTATGTGTGTGTGTGTGTGTCTTAGTCGGAAGCTCACAGTAAAAAGTGATGGAGACAAAAACGTAATGAAGATTTTGCCTTTAAACAAAGGCCATTAAATAGTTTAGTTAAGTTTACTTAAAGGATTCACCTATAGTTTTAAAGGAGCGAAATAAAGAAGAGAAAAGTATGTGTGTGTGTATCTGAAATGTATTGTCTCCCAGAGGCAGTTACAGTCCAGTAAGGCTACAATTGTGCATATTTTTGTAAGTTTAGCAAACTTTCCTCAATTATCACTTAATTTCAGCATTTACAAAAGTTTGTGACGTGCAGTTTTATTATTTTTAATATTATTACCTATATTGCTTCTATTGTTATGTGGGTGTGTTATTAACTGCTTCTTTGATGTAAACTTTCTACAGATCCAACAAGGAAAATGCTGTGCTTGATTTACTTTAACCAGGTTTCCCAGGAGGTCAGAGGCTTACAACATATGCCTTTACAAATGATGTTTATATGACCCACCCACCCAGTGTGCCTGCTAAAATAAATCAAGCCCAGTGTTCAGTTGATTTTTACTCCTTGCTGCTCCTATAGAGTCAATACAAATGCAAAGATCCTAAAGGTGAGTGAGAATGTAATATTAAGACTAACATCTCATATTTTTGTATAAAGCAGATGACCAAACACAGAGGTCCATTAATGACAAGAGTCACAATTAACAGTGTCAAGAAAGTAGGCTGTAGTTCCTATTTTGCAACTGACATAACATTGAAACAAGCTGCATTTTGATATGGTCCTGCTTCCACAATAACACGTATTTTAGGTTGGAACTGTAGGTTGTGGTAGGAAATAATACACGGATGGAAGACTTTTGAAGCATTTAAAAAACTGAAAAATCTTCTGCACATAATCCTTTGCTGTTAGAAAATGTTGAACTTTAAAAAGGACTTAATTGAAAGATGTCAAAAGGTGTTTAGTCCTTGGCATCCAGTATGTGTGTCTCATCATTTTGTAAAGGGCTATCACTCCCATTACACAAAGATGGAAAGTAATGATTTGTTTCCCACATCATACTGCTGGAGCAGAGACATGTTTTACATTTTACATAATTTAATATTGTCTTTAAAACACCTCCAACCAATTCATTTCTTTTCTACTTGTCATTTCAATTCTCTTACTCTGCTCCTCAGGGAGATACTTGCTACTGGTCTTTTTTTTCCTCGAGACATTGCAGACTGTGTACGTGAACCTATCCACCCTTCCTTGCTGGAGGTGGGAGGTGGAGGCCAGAGCTGGCGCTGGTGTCGCTGCTCTGTGTTCTTTGTGGCTGTGGAGGAGGAGGAGGGACAGGATTCAGAGTCCTGCGGTGGGAGGTTTAGTGCACTGAGTGGGCAGCAGCTCCAGCATCTGCTCCCTCTTAGCGGCAACCACACTGGGTGTTATGACAAGATTGAAAAAAAAGGTGGGGGGTGGGGTGGTGCGGGAACGTAAGGCCAGAGATCAGGAGGATGACAAAGAGTAGAGAGAGAGAGAGAAGGGGAGAGGTAGCAAAGCTTGGAACATGAGGCTAAAAAAGTTCAAAATGAAGACAGTGAGATGTGTAAATCTGACGAAGCAGAGTTTTAATTGGTGAAAAAAGAGACAGAGAGAGGGAGTGTGAAGTCAGATGTCAGATGGAGGGAGGGCAGGGAGACCTGTGTAGGGGGGAAGCCTCATAAAAGCATCATTAGGGAGTAGGCTGTACCTCCAGGCATGCTCGCCCAATGACTCACACCTACAGCTTGTTAGGGCTTCCACTCGCCAGAGAGGAGGCCGAGTTCAAGGCCACGAGCCGGGTTGTGTGTCAGAACACATGGTGAGAAATGGATAAATAAAACAACAAAGCTTTGCATGTCTGACACTTTGGTTTCAAAGAAAGGGAAAACCACTTCCAAAAATAAAACGCAGACTGTCATTCTTGTTGTCCTATAACTGCTGTAGCCAAAACACTTGACAGGAAACTAAATATATCACACTCTCAATACTAACATGGATATTTGCTCATAAAGCTGGGGATGATATTCTGAAATTGACACGCATATTGCGCTTTTGTGGTTATTAGTGAAATATCGATGTTTATATGGATATCTTGTGACAATGCAAGTGTTGAATGACAGGACTGTGTATCATTATTTAAGAACATTAACAATCGAGGTTTGCTCGGCTGGAACAAATAGTATGCAGTAGGGTTGAATATAAGGTCAAAGCAAAGCCATGATGGCCAGGAATTTGGATGGGTGGCACAAATTCAGGTGAATATGCTTTCCCGCCAATTGAATTGCACTTATCCCAGGGTTTTATGACCCCAAATCACAACTGTACGTTTCAGGAGTTTTCAAAATGTCAGTCTGATCTGAACACAAACACACTCCACACACACTGATTGGTGCATAAGTACATTGTGTTGATAACAAGCTATAGCTAACATCTGTACACTCAGTAAATTAGTAGTAGCACGTGACAAAGACTGCAAAAAATATCAATTTCACGTCAATATAGTGAAGGCAAAAAATCTGTGCTGAATGAACGTTTAATTAAAACAATTGTGTGTGTGATAAGTGTGAAAGTTTATTTTTGACCTTGGAAACAGTAATTTCACAAAAAAAAGTATTCTCAGTGAGTTATTCAGTCTACATAAATCGCCAGTTTAACTATGTTATCTAAACCACTTATTTGGAAGTGAAAATAAAGCTGAATGTAGGGCTGTGCAATATGACAATATAAAACACATGTTCTTTCATATTATGCTCTATCATTTATTTCATCATCGCTTTGAGTTCTTTCATACGGCACAGACACAGACAGGAAATTTCCATAAATGCTGCACAAACAAACATGGAGGAGAGCTTACATTTAGACGCTAGCTGTCACAAGTGTAAAATGTAATAGAAAATAGGCCTTTCCATGTGGTAATTTTAAATAAAATATTTATTCATTGAATTTGCAGAAATGTGCATTATCTGGATGAAATGAATTATCTCGGTATATGAGATTTTGTTCATATCACACAGCCCTAGCCAAAATGACACATGCACAGTCTCCATTGAAATACCCATATAGTTTCCAGAGCTTCTAGTGAGCTACTGTACTTGGTTCAGCTTTGACATGCATGCACTTACTGTAGTTGCACTGGCGAGCAGTTTTACAATACCATGAAAAACAATAATGGTAATATCAGGTATGCTCTGTATAATTTCCACTTCCAAATACCTGTGGTGACAATACGGTCAAACTGAGGATTTGTTTACAACCTCTGTGATCGTAATGTTGGCCCTAATGGCCTCTGTTTTAAAGAGTGACTCGTGATTTGGCCCTGATTTAAGCTGGAGAGTAAACGCTCAAGCCAACAGGAATGATGGTCAAAACTGAGGCAATAAAATCCAGACCATGGAAAAAAGCATTTACCTTCAGAATTTGTCCACATTGGGACTTTACAGACCATGTTCTGCCCAGTGTCAGTGAGGTTATATGGGGTGCATGTCATTTGGCTGAACTCTGAAAATAACCATGTAATACACAGTCTCATTCCCGCCTTGTCTAGTTGTGTTTGTCCTCAAGAGATTTCTCGCACGTATCTGAAATGTTGGTAATATGTTACTATGCACAAGCATGTGGAATGTGGGAATGGTTTTGGCTCGGGTAATTTGCTGACAGCTCTCTAAGTACACAGCTCTCCTGATAGACAACGAATTATAAAGATGTTACCCGTACCACTGAGGGATACAAGCTAGATTTTAGCTTACACCTGTAAGGTCAGCAGTTTACTTGTGGCTTGGCCTGGAATTGTGTGATTGGCACTGATGCATGTAGTGTACATGATGTATCTTGGCTAAATATGCCAGATTTAAAGCACCTGAAGACTTGGTATTTAAACTTTATGTAGAATTTGCAAGCATTTTACCATCTTTCATGTCATTGTTTTGGTTTTACTCCTCAATTTTACAGTTTTGATTCACAATCACTACTTATCAACCTTGTTTCCAGCACCAATACTAAATGTACGAGACATGGTTAGCAACTAGCTGGTTAACATTTAGCAACAAAGGAGCCAGATATTTCCCTCAACATTTGGTATGAATTGCTTCATCAGAATTTATTAACACTAGCTTTTTTTTGGGAAAACCACCCAACAACTGCCATACTAACTATGCATTAATACACATGGAAACACCTGACTAGTGCTACAACTGACAATTATTTTCATTATCAATTAAAACCCTAATTTTAAAAAGGTACTTCTTTTGTTCAACCAATGATCAAAAACCCAAAGATACAAAATGTATTTTGGCATAAATAATTTCCAAAAGAATTCTACTTCAAATCATAGACAAAAACACAAATTCATCCCTAATCTGAAATCACTACCATGGCACATAATAGTTTGTTCGTATAAGACCAATAGATCATGAGTTAATTTCATAAATATGTTTTCAGGGCTAAAAATAAATCAGTCAATTAGCTAGTCTATTTATCTATCAGTGTATCTAATGTATCTAAGGCCATAAAATCTATTATATGTATCTGTGATGACAGATTTAAAGCACATTAAAAGAAGATCACAATCTCATGGTTTAAGTCTGCTTTAATCCTGACTCTAATCATGTCTGTCTTGTTCAGACAGGTTCAGCACTTTGGCAGCTCTACTCAGCTTTGCTTTAGAAGTGCATATTTATTCCACATCTATGCTGAGGCCACAAGGGCTGGTGCTATACATACTAAATATACTGGCCCTTTGCACAGCTCCTTCCAAGCCTATATTGGCCTCTCACGTCAACCTGAGTCTTTAATCCTGGATAATAAGATTTCCTTACCCTTCAAATCTTGTCAAATCCCACTCGAGTCAAGCCCTCCCCAACCAACGTGGACATGTTACAATGGAAGGAGACTTACCATAAATCCGAGCGTCCTGGCATGAGCCTTTTCTTTCCATTGAAATATGGTTCAAAATCTTGGGTCTTGAGTCTGTGGGCGTAGTCTATGTAGCCAGATACTTCCTGTCCAAGAGTATTATGATCCCTTATGAAAATGACCGACTGTAAAAAGAAAGAAAAAGAAGGAAACCCTCTGTGTAAATAATCATGGCCATCAAGCCTCTCCTGAGTGAAAGCCAGGAAGGCCAAAGTCACTTGTTAGAAGTGGACAGATAGAGACAGAGATCTTACAAATCCTCCCACTTTGAAATACAAAAGCTCACGTTATGCTTTGAATCAGGTCCAAATCAAAAACGACTCCAACTAATGTCGTCCTGCGATGGCCCGAGCTCACCGAGGTGGGCTGTCTAAAGAATATCCTGCTCAGATAAGTGCGTGGGACTCGAGCTGAATCCTTCGACTTACAGTAACTAGAGTCTCAGTTCCGTTCCAACACACCTACAGTCTGGGCAAAAATGTAGCTTGAAATGACAATGAAATGTGGAGTCTTGACTTAAATCTTAATGCTGTATGTTGTGTGTAGAATTAAGGACATTTTGGGTGATGGGGGGAAGTCAAGGAAAGACCAAAAAGGGCCCTAAAGAGGCACTTTTAAAAGGTGATAAAAATGATTTAGTGTAGAGTTATAGAGCAAAAATATATAGGGCATCCCTTTGACAGTTTAAGCCTAAACATAACCTAAACTCTAGCCCTACCACAAAGCTGATTACAGCAGTTTATTGTATTTATTGTAAAGTTCCATTACATAGAATCATTGCACCTTCTGTAACATCTATTGCATGTCTGTCCATCCTGGAACCGAGACCCAGGTTATCTTGATGAATTCAACTTTATTGGCAAAAAATAGAATACGAACACAACAGCCAAATACTAGCTTGGGTTTAAGACGCCGGTCATTAACTGCAATGTCCTCTGTTTGAAACCGGCTTGGGGAACTTCCATTGCATCCTCTCTCTCTCTCTGTCTCTCTCTCTCTCTCTCTCCCCCCCTCTCTCTCTACTATCACTGTCTAATAAATGAATAAAATGCCCAAAACATTTATTAAAAAAGAAAAACTACTGGATGTGAGGGCACACAATGGCTCTCTATAACCCAAACACTGATTTCTGATTAAAATTCAATGAGTAAGAACAAAAAAGACTTTGGATTCTCCAACACAAACAAAACACATACATCTAAAGACAGTTTTCCAGCTGCTCATCAGAGACCAGGCCTTTGAAGTGAGCTCGAACGAGACATAACCAGGAAAAAAAAGGATGACAAATGGTTTTGTCACCGGATTCACACAAAGCAAAAGAAAGGCAAGTTGTCCAAATCCCCTCAGGTGACAGCAGAACATGAAATGATCTTTTCATGTCGATTTGATGGTTTAGATAACACATGATGACAATGGATGGGAAGAACTCCAAACAGAAGACACACTCAGGTGTGAAGAGGTTGTTTTGTCTGCCTTCACAAAGATAAAACAAAGCTTTTCTTTCTTTCTTTGCTGCCTTGTCTTGAGAAAAAGAGGATTATTTTTGTGTCTGACTTGTCTTGTTTACTCTGAGCATGAATGAGTCCCACTTGTCGACCTACAGTAACACAGTAAGTGGATCCAAGCGGCATACCTCAGCTAGTGATATCACATTTGTATAACTGTCAGGACATGGGCCATCTGTGGATCCTTTTACTAAAAAGGCGTGAGATAACTAGCGCTCCAGAGCTCAGAAGAAAAGAGGGCTCCTTTCTCTCTGTCTCTCAAACGTTTAAAACAGATGCTATCAGGTTCACAGCTGGCTGGAGGCCTGGGCCAGATACCCTATCTACTGGCTTCTGTCCTCCTGCAGCCAGCCTTGAAAAGACATCATCAGGTGGACCCGGCAAAGGCAAAGGAGGCGAGTAATGTTTGAGCAGCATTTAAAAATATCAAATTATGGGAGATATGTAAATCAATGAAGTCAGTTTGCCAAATGAGCCAATACAGCAGTATTCGATACAGGGCTTCGATAAAGTCTTTGGTCTTGCACTTGACTATACTACTCGTAACAGTGGCCAGCTACTGTACAGCGCCAGGGACTATCTCCAAATCTAAACCAGTGCTTTGGTTAAGGTGACATATAAATAGTATATATATAATAAGTATGCAACATGTTATGGATAATTTTTATTTATTATATTCATTGTTGTGGCCATTATTTCTATCAGTTATGATGACACTAAACTCACAACCCAAAGTAATGACTTAGATCTGGGAATACAGCGACATCGCTATAATGTATGTTGGAGAAATGAGTCTGATTCTGATCAGTAAATTGTTGGGAAATTTAATTGCAAGTTTTTATATATAACTGAAAGAAATTGCAAATGAAATATCTGACAAATCATTTCTTCATCACACTGCTGCAAAAATCATACAAATCCACTGTTTCCATAAAGTAAATTTGCTGCCTCTGAACGGTCTGCTAAGCCCCGCCCACCAAATCCACAAGTTCGCAGCAGAAGTCGGTTGCCCTATGAAAACAGCCAATAGAAACTCGTTCTCTCTGAAATGACCCGTAATTGGTCAAAGTCTAGATGTTCTAAAGCAAAAAATGAGACTTAAGTTGCATTAAACCAAAATGATGTGTTAACCATGCCACCACCAAGTTTTCCCCTCTTTTTCTCTTTTCAGTTTTTGGAAGAAACATAGAAACATAAAATCAGAATGAACTCCATTCTCATCGAAAATAAATTGTATTTTTCAGTAAAAATGAAAACAATAAGCCTTATTCATGGGTAACACAGCACAAAAGAGTGCTGGAAAACTGCCTAAACAGAAGTACATGATTACATTTTGTTTCACTAACTTGCCTCTGACAGGTAAGCCTAAGATCATTTCACTCGATGGAGTCAGACTTGCTCATTTTCTGCAAACAACCAATATGACTCAATGCTGGAGGGAGCCGGGGGACCTCCACCTTACACCATGGAAAACAAGTGGAGGCCTTACGTCACCTGCCAGCAATTACCAAGAACAGGTGCTGTGACCTCACAGGGCAGCAAGTGAGAGGCCCCGCTTTATGGCAAACATCGGTCTGGTTAGTGCCTGAGAAGCTGAGTGCTGCACAGGACCCAGGTAGAGATTCTGGCTCTTTGTGATACTCAATATTCAGTTTGCTCCTCTTTGAAGCTCTTTTTTTCTTGTGTTCACAGTTGAAGTTTCAGCTGTCTGGAAGGAAAACACCAGTGACCTTAAGATGAAGCTTACATACACAGGTGAACAGTAGACCAGGAGTTTCCTTTAAATCCATGATCCGTGCAGTTAATAAACACAACAAAGCATCTCAAATCCTCATGGGTACCCCGCCCTCAAAAAATCCACTATGAACATGTTTATGCACCCAGAAACAAACTGTGAAACTTGAACAGTGTTGACAATAATAATTATTGTGGTCTGTGGAAACTGTGGAGGGATCCCCTGCCTCTTGACAATAAGTAAAACCTACACAGATGTGAATTACTCCACAGACCTTTGGCTAATCTTTCAAAGCCCTGCGGCTGAAAGAGAAGGATTTACAAATTTAAGTCAAACAGAAGCTGACAGCAGGCTGACACGTACTGTGCCCTTCCTTTGTGCTTTGACAATGTCCTACAGGTGGGGACACAATGGCTGGACCACCTGACATCCTGTGGCATGAGGAGTGTATGTCTGAATGCTTGTGTCACTATAGGTGTTTGTTTGTTTGCTGTTTATGACACAGAAAGAGCGTGAAATGGTTAAAGAGAGATAACTAGAGCGACCTAGCTACCAGGGCAGGGTACTGAACCTTCATACTATTTTGGTAACAAGTAAAAAGTCAAGTATCAAAAGCTGAGGTCAAATGTCTGGTCAGATTGGTGATCTTGTTTATTCTTTGATCCAAAAGTTCCTAATTCAAGTCTTAGACCATTTTAAGTTCTCTTCCAGTTCCTCATGGTTAGATAATACTGAACATTTGAGAACTCTGGTGTTTTTCTGTTTTAAAAGGGTTCTGTAGAAAAATATATCATAAAGATAAGGAAAATATTAGAAAAGTTTTGGAATCTGTACCAAAAATTGGGTATCATTTTGGCCCTAGTATCAAACGATAATCAAAGCGTCTTCAAAGTTGGCTAAAAGAGGGGCTGTAACGGTTCATTATTTTCAGTATTGCAGTATTTTAGTATATAAAATGTCAACTAACAGTCCAAAGACAAAAGATATACAGTTTACAAATCTGTAAACCGTTTGACACTGTTTGACATTTTTGCGTAATTAATGATGTAACAATTGACTGACAATCAATCAGCATGAGCCAAAAGTTGAAAACTTTAAAACCTTGTTAATATTACAAAAATAATAATAAAGTATTATTTTCAATATCAAAGAAAATCCCAAAGTGACATCTTTAAATTACTTGTTTTGTCTGAACTAAAACCCAAAGTTATATAAATATAAATCTCTAATTAGAAAAGCTGCAACCAGCCAATATTTGGCATCTCTGACAATCAATTAATTGAGTTGTTTGAGTATTTTATTTTGTGGATGTTACCTGAAAGGGGACTGCACGTGACATGGCAACAGTATATTCAGTACTAGATAAAAAGATAAAAGCAGTGTCCATCCGTCACATATTACGGAGTGAGAAAGTGAAGTTGAAGCAGTAGAAAAGGCGCTCTGTCTTGAGTTTATTACACAATAGATGCAGCTGGTTTGGCTCACTTATGTGTGTTTTAAGTTTTGTCACCAGGTCAGTGAGACTGACCTGTGTGCAACACTGACTGCTTTTAGTTTACCTACCCCACCCCCCACACACACACACACCACCAACCTGTCGGCCGGCCCCCGCGGCCCCTCCTCTCCCCATTCTCCAACCCACCTCTGCCCACACCAAACCCCCCAGTCCCTGGGAACAATCCTGCAGTGTCAGGGAGCTGTGCAGGTGTCTTGCGGTGTCAGCTGCCATACTGTTTATTATTGGTGGGCTGCGCTTTAGGAGGAATCCCAGGCCATCACTAACAACTGTGTAAATTTGTTGGGGTAAGGAAAACATGGCCTGTACTGAGGAATGTGTTTAGGTGGGAGCCTTCTCTCTGACAGGCTTTGCCATTGTCCCCTTTCT